TAACCTAACCTAACCTAACCTAACCTAACCTAACCTAACCTAACCTAACCTAACCTAACCTAACCTAACCTAACCTAACCTAACCTAACCTAACCTAACCTAACCTAACCTAACCTAACCTAACCTAACCTAACCTAACCTAACCTAACCTAACCTAACCTACTCTCTGCGTCGGCATCCTCACGCTCTTCCACGCCGTCCGCAGGCAGACGGGGATATACACACACAAAGTCGTCGATGTGACAGGTGAGTACCGATGATACCTCAAGCAAGCCAATAGGAGGCATATTGTGCACTAAATCGCAAGGTCAGCACGGAGTCAACATTGAACAATATAGCCATACTCACACCGGACCGTATCCACATCCTTATACCCCTTCCAAACCTCTTCAGCGACCATGCACTCTTCATCGCTGATCCGTAAAGAGGGGGTGACCTCAATTGATCGACGAGGAGTGCTTGGAATAGACGTCGACTGGCGAGCTGATATTGGTCGAACAGGCGTGTCAAACACCGAGCCCCTGTGCGGGCGAGGTGAGGGCTGTATGGCGCTGTTGAAGAAGTCCGACAGGGACGGCGAGGCAATGCTGGAGCCAGCTGGGGTCTGTACGGCGCTGCGGAAGAGGTCGGACATGGCAGGATAACACAAACAGAGTCTGAGTGGATAGCGAGTGATGGGGAAAGGGGAGGAGCACACCACAGGCGCAGTGGCCGGGTATATAGTCAAAACACATGGCTGCCTCATGTTAGCCCTTTAGCCGAGCCCCAAGCTGATTACGATCCTAATCAATCTTTTCATCAACCACCATCAGCTCCCCCCAGTGTACGTGCGTATTCTCCCCTCTGGGCCTCAAAATCATTCCTAGTCCTGCCATACAGAGCGCCATGTCTACCTCCCCTGCAGCCCAATTGAACGAGTTTGCAGAAGGGCTGAACATGGATGGCACCAGCCCTTCATTGGGCAACGACGAGGATATCCCCATGGACCTTTCGCCACCGTATGAATCACACAAATGGGTGTTATATTCTTGCTGAAAATCCGCTAGGTCGTCGCCAATGAGTCATGAAGAGGCCGTTGCGCAGCTGGACAGCCTGGCGATGTCTTTGGGACTGGGAAGCAGCCCGGCTTACATGGACGTCGACAGCGAGAACGAAGACGTTGAAATGCATAGCCCAACAAGGCAAGCATCCATCTACCGTCCAATGGCATGACATCTGACCAGCACTCCAGACCATCGAGCCAGAGCCGACCTGAGACACCATTAACACCGACTCCAATGTCTACCCAGGATGCTGAAAACATGCTGGATTCCTTCATTGAGGAAATGGAGGATCAGCGCAGCGATACAGCGCGCACACCAACACCGATGACCACGCAAGATGCTGAAGCCATGCTCGACTCCTTTATTGATCAGCTCCCTGATAACAACTCGTCTTCCTCGACATCAGCTGGCAGTGGCTCGAATACACCGGAGCCCGGAGCACAAAACACCCAGGATAACGACGCGTACAGACCGTCGGATGAAGAGCAGCACCAGCCACATAGCTCCCCCTCCCCCTCCCCCCCGCCTGTTCCACAGAACAACAGACCGTACACTGCAATGCAACGAAGGGAGGCTGCAGGTAGGCATACAATCAGCACTTGTGTGCGTCCTGTGCCTTACAATGTTTCGGCAGACAAGTTCCTGTCAGCACCGGAGCTCTGGATGACTGCATGTATGAACTGCCACACTCTTAGGATGGGTACCTTCCTCGACCTTAGCATCATCAATGTCTTCCTTCTCGACTACTGGCTCCACAACTCCACCACTGCGCACATCCGTTTCATTGATGCTGCTTTCGCCGGCTCATGGCAGTTGGGTTCAAAGGAAGCATATCTTATGGACCTCTACACCAAGCCTCGCTTCCGCCGTCTATCATTTCTACCCCCGCGTGGACCATGCCCATTTGTCCCAGTCGTCTTTGTTGTCCGCCTCGATGAACACTTCTTCGTTGCACTCCTCAACTATTCGTCCAATGCCGTCTACGTCATAAGCCGCACCAGCGTGGACAGGCGGTATGACAACTGGGACGACTGGGATGGCTACAACTACTACAAGGGCATCTGCACCTTGCACAACTGGGAGCCGCATACTGCCGAGGACCTCACCATCTTCAATGTCCCATGGGCACAAAACGGCGTTGACTGTGGCCCCTTCGCCACCAGCATCATCCTGGGCCTCATGCAGCAAGGTGTTCATATCAATCCCACCACGCGCGAGCTCAACCGGCCCACATACATCTGTCCCCAGTATATGCGGATGTTGATGCTCCAGGGCATCCGCCGTATTTGCGGAGCCTCGTGCCAGACCTGGAACCTCATCCGAGACCAGCGCCCAGAGGAGTGGCAGACCTGGAATGCCGGTGGCCAGGCGATTGCAGAATATGACAATGGCAGCGAGTACTACCTCATGCGCCTCCGCAATGCGCGCATGGGGGCGATCGAGCGAGAGCTCAATGCCCACGAGGCTACATGTCGAGACTGTGAAAGACGCGGTATCCGTGCACGCAGAGCGCCTGCCCAAGCCCCCATTCCTGACATTGACCGCTCCACGCCACGACCACTCGATGTCCCCGGTGTAGAACCGCAGCAAAACCCGGAAAACACTCCCGAGCCGGAGCAAGACAACGATGACGATCCGCTGAACGAGCTGGCCCTTGGTGCGGCCATCGAGGACATTCAGTCCAGCGTCGCCCAGCGCAAGTCGGCCACTCTCTACTACAGAGAGGATAGCTGGCACAACCTTGGCATTGACCGCTTCCCCCGCCCGACACCACCACCCAGATTGCCCAATCCCACACACCCATTCTGGCCCGCCGATGACACGCTGTACGACGAGTATGAGCAGTGTCCAACACAAGAGGACTTCGTGCCCTTCAACAATACTCGCGAGATGGAGTACCTGCACACCTACCATCTCTTCGGCGACAGCTTCTATCAGCGGACAAGCGAACGCAGTACCTGGACGATGTTCATTGACTACGGAAACAGACTGCTGCCCTGCTATGGCAATATGTTCTACCTGAACGCGCCCATGCAGCCTCTCGACCATATTCTCTGTGTTGGCACCCCCAGCGACTACAAACCTACAGCGCAGCTTGGTGCCGCCACCGAGGAGTATTCCCTCAGCCGTGGGCTTGCAAGCGCTGTGAAAATCAAGATCACGGATGTCACTGAAATGGGTTTTGAGGACATGCTGTTCCACGCAGGTGCTCTTCCAGGGACGGACGAGGCACGCGACATCTTTGTGCGTGGTCGAGCGGACAATGACGAGAAATACATCCATGTCAACCCAGAACAGGATGGCGAAGTGCTGGGACCAGACGACATCGACGTCTCCGTCGACATTGACAGCCTCATCTGGGTGACAGACAAGCTTACCTTCAAGCTCGGCGTCAAGGTCCACCTCACTCCCTCTATTGGTCCCATGGCCATTATCCCTAGGTCGAACCACGTCTACGTCCATCTCCTCATGCCCCCATCGGACCCGAACGGCCTAGTGGGCGGACGCTCAGAGTGGATCGAGAAGCGCATACCCCTCAGCAACATTCCGCATACCCGCTTTGCATCCGTCGTGGAGGGACATGGTCCGTTCACAGCCTACATCTTCTTCCCTCGTATGCGCCACAAGAGCGAGTACACGAACCGTTGGCAGGTCATGATGCCCTACGAGCTCCAGGAGATGCTATACGAGCAAGTCATCATCCCAGCTGTGCGCACCGTCCTCGGTCCAGAGACTGAGCCATACATTGGCTATACAGTCCAGGAGTTCAAGCTCAAGTCTGCATCCAAGTCGCACCGAAAGGGCAACCCAGCTCGTGGCAAGGTGGTCGATGTCAGGCCCACAGACCTCATCCGCATACAGAAAGAGATGAGGAGCCTCATCGAAAACAGCCCTACAGGTCTATTGGACCGCTTCGGCTCGTTCTTCTTTGTTCTCGAGGGCAAGGGCACCAAGCTTGCGTCCCAAGTCAACCTGTCTCGTTCCCAAGAGAATCCATGGGAGCTGTTTCAGAAGTCGTACCCTGTCCTCGATGCGCCCGCCATGCTCAGCTATACCCGGGGAGAGCTGCTCGTCGACGTAGGCTTTTGCTTTGTTCCACGGGCACCAAATCCGATGGTCGGCCTATGGCACCTTGATGCGCTCGAGGCATCGTACGGGCGAGGTGGCTACAGCCGAGGCACCATGCACACGGGCAACACCCTCGCTCGCTATGGCGGTATGCAGGCCGAGATGCTCCAGGCAAGGGCGGAGCGCACCCACATCGCCTTTCGATCCTCGTACAATCTCTATTACGAGGCAACACGCACACATGACAACCGTCCCATCTTTGCAACAGACGGTGATGCCTACAATCTCAACGAGCCATGGTCCACGGACTGCAACCGTCTTCTGGAGCTCTATAAAGGCTCTGCACCGTCAAACTCGTATGGAGTGCGCGATGAGTACCGCATTGGAGGCAGAGTGGTTGAGCAGCTCATGACGTCGTGTAGGGAGATGGTGAGCTGGCATGTGCACACGAGACGAAATGAACTGACATCTCCTTCAGGCAAACACCTTCATCCTGTCCCAGCCAATTCTGTGGGTCACGTCCGACCTATGGTTCAGATGGCTGTCTCGCCGTCTGGATGAGCTCATGGCTGTTCAAATGTCTCTTTACCGCACACGGCCTACAAACTATGGTCGCATCACTGGCGTGCTGACCCACCTCATCCGCTCCGTCGAGACCACGCCTATCATCGTTCCAGGGCATGTCCTGCGCTCCCTCGGCGACCTCCAGATGCGCCAAAATCGGTCCCGGTTTGGCATGATGTTTCTCCACAACCTGAACATGACCTCGCCAGAGCTCGCCCTCATGGACATCGAGGACTTTGACAGCCAAGACGTCCTTGCCGCTCTCAAGATTCGAAAGAAGTTCAACCCTCGCACCAACCCCGCGAACTCTGGTCCCTCGATCGCATATCCACTCGGCGAGTATCCGACCTGGAATGCAGTCCAGACTGCGGTCCGAGACGAGCCCTGGAATATCATCCGGCAGTATGACATGCGGTACCTCCCTCTGCTCATCATTGTCCGTCGCGCATTCCAGTCCTTTACTGCGCAGATGTGGGACATGCTAAATGAGATCTACTTCACGTCGAGAGGCGAACCGGAAGTGACCACTCTGGAACAGGCAATGAAGGCATGGTCATTGGGCACCGTCTTCGACTCGATTACAAAAGTCAGCTGGGACGCCATCAACACAGGATGCTGGAAAAACATCCGTGGCCCGAAAGAGGTGTCTTTCAAGGACAGGGTCAAGATGTACTTTCCCGAGAGCCAGGAGATCGCCTCCAATTCGGCCGCACTCCGCCCCTTCTACCTCCTCAGGACAGGCTACCTCTCCCGCTTTTGGCGTGACATCACTGAGCTTGACGAAGAAGAGCGTCAAGACGTGTATGACGAGCTGGGTGAAATCTTCTCGAGTATTCAGTGTCTTCCGGCTACTCGTATCAGCCGTAACGATGGGGCCATTCTTCCGGGGAATACATGGCAAACCATGAACGGCTCCATACGCATTATCACAAACCCTGCGCACTACATGATCAAGGGTATTGGCGAGGAGCGGAATGCTCGCAGAGCGCAGCGGAGCTCTAGGGCAGTGGTCTCGGAGCATGCAGCTCTCGAGCGCCAGCTGGAAAGGCAGGCTGTGCCGCAGAAGGACAGGGGGAGGATGATCAAGGCGGCCATCGGCAGTAAATCAACCAGGGAAAAGAAGATGGAGGAAAGGCGGTCTAAGAAGTCGAAGAATATGCGGGCGCCGCCAGGTGCTAAGAAGCAGGGCTCGTCGTCAAGTTCGAGTTCAAGCACCAGTGGAGATGGGTATTATTTGGATGAAGAGGGTTCAGAATAGGATGTAGACTGTACGCAATTTGTGTCATATCCATGTACACAGATCTTGGATGCAATGTGTATTCTCACAAATGCTGGTCCGAGGGCAAATGAGCATATACATTGGACTTGACACACAGCGTGGACAGATTAGGAGTTTGCCTGAACCTACATGACGATTGACATGCTAGAGAAATGATTCCTAGGCGTGTAACACGTCTCAGAGCAACAGAGCAAGACATATTGACCGATTACCCTCAACACAAATGACCATACAAATGCTAGCTAAGATGATTGTAGGGCATAAGAGTATGGTAATGAGGCGTCTTAGGATGCATCCCAGGTGCTAGAACGGTGTGTAAATGGCTTGGTCAGCGCCGGAAAATCCACAATATCGAAATCACTTACCCTATTTGCGCCCCAGGACCCAGTCCAATGGGGGAAGTCGTGGGACGCCAGGTACCCACCATCTCCGGCGGCGCCCAAGCACGTGGATTGGAACCGAAGACATGATCATGTCGGGGCGTACAGCAGGGTGTGCTTTACGCCACTTCCTCCTTTGCTGCTCCGGCGTCAAGACCACCTTCGCCTTCTTCTGGTAACGACTGTAACAAGCGAATAAGTGACCGATCTAATGATACAAAAAATCAATACATACACGGGCAAGTCGTCCTCAGCCTTGCGCTTCAAGGACGTCGGCTTCTGGGGCACCACAGCCTTGTTAGAAGACATTGAAATGTTGTCTAATCGACTGTTAGCTCGGCTTGTAACACTTAACAATGAGATTTACTTACTGTTGACGAGGGATGGTGGGGGAAGGAGGGAAAGAGACGAGTGGGTCGGTCAGACAGCAGCCAGGTTTATATACCACCCTCAAGGTGGTGCACATGATCATAACCGGGGATGTTGCCACTGATGGGCCATGGTGTTTGACGAAAAAGGAAAGGCTCATGTTGCGCCTATGTCGAGCGAGACCGTGGCCAAATATGGTGCAGGAATTGAAAACCAGCTTAGTGCACGTAAGGAGTTCATATTTCAATAGAAGGGAACAATACAGATGTGGTAGATCATTGACACAGATTATCGGACTTAACAAGACAGATAAATTGGCCTCAACTTATATGACAGTATACGAGCTGGCTCAGATCATCGTAAGGCATAAGGGTACAGTACTAAAGTGTCTCAAAGGGTATAAGACGTCTCAAGGGCTCAGCCTCTGTAAATGACTTGTTCAGCGCCGGAAAATCCATAATATCAATATCACTTACTGTTCTTTCTGTCCAAGGACCCATTCGAGCGTGGGCAGTGGCTGGACACCAGGCTCCAACCACCTCCAACGATGCCCAATGACATGGATTGGAACCGCACACAGGACCATGTTAGGCCTTGCAGCTGGGTGTGTCCTGCGCCGCTGACGCCTTAGCTGCTTGGCCGACAGGGCTACCTTCGCCTTCTTCTTGTGACGGCTGTAGCAGGCCAATGAGTGAACAATCTAATGCTTGAATTAACAATCACTTACACAGGCAAATCGTCCTCAGCCTTGCGCTTCAAGGACTTGGGCAACTCAGGCACCACAGCATTGTTAGAGGACATTACAGTTCTGTCTTATGGACTGTTAGCTTGGCTTGTGATGCTTAGATATGAGAATTACTTACTGTCGATGACGGATGGTGGGGGGAAGAGGGAAAGAGACGAGGGAGGCGGTCAGACAGCGGCCAGGTTTATATACCATCCTCATAGCCATGCACATGATCATAACCGACGAATTGGCCGCTGATGGGCGGTGGTGTTTGACGAAAAAGGAAATGCACTTGTCTTGAGCCAGACCATGGCCAAATATGGGCGAGGGAAATGAAACTCAGTGTTCTCTAGTGGCCGTGGCCCTCCCCCTCGGCTGACAGGCCGCCAACAGATTAAGAATGGCTGCAGACATGGGTCCCAGATTTGGTACCCGTATTCCTACATAGGAATGGACCATATTGACGATAAGGAATCTACCCCGAGATCGTAGTGGTTCAAGTGGTCATTACCTCCCCCCTTGGCTGGGATGCCCGCCAACCAAACAAGAACGGCTGCAGCTATTGCTCCCAAATTCGGTACCCGTAATTCCACATATGAATGGATCATATTGACTATAAAGAACCTACCCCGAAATTGTAATGGTTCACATGTTAGTGGTTGTGGCCTCCCCCCTTGGCTGGGATGCCCGCCAGCCGAGAAGGAACGGCTGCAGCTATGGCTCCCAAACTTTGTACCCATGGTCCTACATACCAATGGATCATATGAGCTATAAAGAAGCTACCCCCAAATCCCCTTCCTTGGTCTCCTAGAATATGCCCTCCTGCCCATGGTACGCATTTTTCGCCCATAGCACCGGCATCAGACCTCCAATCGCCAAGCGGCTTGGCACCAATGTTCACACATACAAATGAAGCATTTCGCTATAAACAAGCTTCCTGCCAAGTGCTGTTGTTGTGGCTCTGCACATAGCAAAAATGCGCCTATTAACAAAAAGAATTGCCCACTGCTCGAAAACCGGTCCGCCGATTTCCCTGAAACTTTGCACCCATCATCTACATGATATAGACGTCCTACATACCAACTTTCAGCCCGAAATTCCGGTACCCTCTTTTGTAATTAATTCCTAACTGACCCCTATTAAAGCTTGGACTGAGAAGAATCTCCTAGAAAGATGGGAGAACCGCCTTCATGAGAAATCGCAGGAGGCACAGCACGGTGACGTACTAGTGCTTAAGTCTGAGTTTAACACCGCATGGAACTATTTCAATGCAAAGGAATTAGGAGAAACCGTGACAGGTTATTGGTCGGAGTGGCTCGAAAGAGCTTCTCGAGGAAATTACTCTACTGATTTTCCCTCGTGCGACGAGGAACCTTGGGGAGCGGGCGAAAGCTTTGCTCCTGCTCCTACTCGGCGCGAGCCGGATAGGAGAGTTCCCGATGTGCGAACGATCAAGACCTTCCAGGCCCGTTGGATAGTGTCGCGTAAGCGCACTACTAATTTAATGGACCTTGCCAGTCTTTGGAAAAAGACGGTTCTCGGAAAGTTGGAGGAACGGACGATGCAGGAATTCGATTCTGTGGAGTCACCATCCCTGGGTCCTACGGGAGACTCAGCGGCTCTGGGGCACGCGGACGAAGACGTTGCAATGGCACCCCCGTTAGGAGTGTCCTTTGAACAGTCCAAGCAGTTC